TTAGTTTGGATAGGGCGTCACCGCATTATTTCTTAATGACTTTCCCAGCTGCTTCTTTCCATTTTCCACCATCAACAACCATCTGGTATCTTATTAGCACCTCAATGCTCATTTAGTGTTCTCATTTAAAAGAAAAAAAAAAGAAATAAACACTAAAAATATTACACATTTTAACGGACCCTCTTTGGAAGATTAATGTCTTTATAAAACGATAGATCCTGTCTCTCAGTCTATTTTCAACCAGCAGATCGGAATCGCAAAACTTTCTTCTAAGATTTCTAAGATATGCAAGAGCTGACTTTTTTCTTCTTCTTCCTACTAAGATTGTATTTAATGTCACAGGAATAATCTTTCACTGTTATATTTCCTCTGTGTTTATTCAAGGCACATATCTCTACAAATAATTATTTTTCCTTAACTATGATATTTTATTTTTTTTTTCATCTTGAGTAGGAATATATACCAAAGCACTAAAGCTCTTGATCCAATTTAGCAACCAGTTTGGACAGCAAAGTTATACACTAGGGAACTGTGAGAAAACTTGTCCCTTTCAGTTTTAAGAAACTATTTTGTAGCATAAGTGGAAGTCAGATCCATTTATGTCCGGAAAGTGGGTACTACAGAACGCGTCTCAATCACCACAATTGAAAAAAATAACTTTAATATTACTAAGGCACGAGCCAGCTTCACTCAACTTCCTAAATTTGCGTGAATGAGAAAGGAAGCTCGCAGCTTGTTTTCAGAAAAATACTTTGGATTTCATACTTTAAGTTTCAGTTACCTAAAGAAGGAGACTTGACTTTTTGGAGAGCAAATTATAAATGTTTGAATAGATTTGTAATATATGTATAAGATCTGTAGCAACAGAATACATACCTGAAGAGAGCTCATAATTTCATTTAGTTTATTAGACAAAAATATATGATTTAGACAAGTTTTGCTGACGTGTTATTTACAATCTGAAATCACTCTATATACAGAAAAAAGAAAACCACAAACACATGGAAAACATTTACCAAACAAATAATCCAAGAATGGTTAGAATAACACGATCTGAAATGGTACAATGAGGAAGGGGATCCATCTACAGATTTGTGTAATGCTTTTATGGATTTGCACCACCTTATTGCAAAAAGAGATTGATGGGAGTTGTTTATACCGTTTCCTTTTTTTTCACTCTCTCTGTCCTTAATACCAGTCTCTGTAACATTTTTTCACCAAATCATTTAATCAAGCAGAAGGGAGAGCTGTTAAAATTCTCGGTGTTCCCTCTTGCTGAGCCAAAGAGCTGCAGGGGAGGAAGGGAGGAAGAAAAAAAAAAAAAGACGTAACATTCTTACATTCTTTCAGAAAAAAAGTTGTTTTTTTTTTAATTACCTGTCTATTGCTATAATATCTTAGTAATAGAGAATGGCACAAAAATCATTGTCTCTGGTGTAATTAACACAAGATCTTTGAGATCTGTTAAGTTTTAGAAAAGTTACAGTCTGGCTATGTACAATTGCAATTTAGTCTAAGTTTGGAAAGATTAGAGCAACTCCTGTGCTGTTCTCATTGTCTGTATGTATTATTATGGTGATGATTAGGTGTTATAATTAGTCTTTATTATTCAAACGCTCTGCTCCACATAAGTAACATTCCTACAGTGAAAACAAACAAACAAACTCACTTGTCACGGACAGGCTGGAAGGGCGATTTTAGCGGCTGGGGTGGGGAGTCAGTTCTTGGTACATTTTCTCTTTCTAGAAGGAGACAAAAAAAAAAAAAAAAAGAAACAAAACAAAACAAAAAGAAAAGAAAAGAAAAAAAGCAAAAAAAAAGCCAAACAAAAACAGGAGAACCATTTTAGAATAACAACAGCAAGAATCTGGACACTATGCAAAGAACACACTTCCCTCTCACCCTCCTGTTCAGACGTGTACAGATACATGTGTATGTGTGTACAGCACTATACTACTCTACTTTCAGTATTTAAGTAGTCTGCAAGCTTTCCTTGACACATTTTTTGCTGTCATTGAAATTATTGGGAGATGAGGGAAAGGAAGGCTCGTGAAAGAGGGAAGGAAAGCTCAAACCTATACGTTTCACTGCACTCTTCCTAAATTTTCATCTTACACGATGGGCGTATAGGGTGAGGATGTAATAGGCCGCATGAAACGTGCTTAATGTATGTGACCAACACGCTGGGTAGGGGGCCGGAAACCAACGCTAGAGTAAACTGCAGCTCCATTAAAAGCAATCAGTTACACCAGTGTGACACCATTCCTCAAGGAGAAGTTCATGTGCATGTGTTGGGGGGTGGAGGGAGAGGTGGAAGGCTGATACATTAATTACCTATGTGTTTGGGACTGGTCCTCTCTGAAGGTTTTTCGCTGCTTAGAGCTCCCAGGGTTGCTGTTAAAACAGAAGACTGTTGCTGGGCCTGGATGTGGTGATTGTGATGAGCAGCATGGTGGTGATTTACTCCCAAAAAGGACCTCACATTTAGAAGGGAACTCTGAGTGAGGAAAGCCCCATTTGTCCAGTTGTGAAATTTGCCAATCTGGCATGTGTAGAGTCCATGGCTAGGGAGAAAAGCAGGGTGCTGAATCTGAGAAGAAGCGTGGTTAACCTGGGGAGGAGGGGGAGGAGGAGGAGGAGAAGATTTCAGGGCACCATCAGGACTGGTTGCCGTCTCTGCCAAAGACCAAAT